AAAACAACCCAACTGCAGTTTGATTGATATTACTTGGTTATCGGTTTTTGCAAATGAACTCTTTATATATATATATATATATATATATATATATATATATATATATATATATATATATATATATATATATATATATATATATAAATAGTAATGTTTAATTCCTTAAAACATTGGCAAGTAGTCCCAATAAATAAATAAAAAATGTAAAAAAAATAACTTTTTTTTTTTATTATTTTATGTTCAAATTGTTAAATAAAATTGGTTATATAGGTAAAGGCAGTGTGTTTCAATAGTTTTTAAAGACAGTAAAAATTTTCATAGTTTTTTTTTTGTCCAACTGTTAAGAATTAGGATAAAATGTATTGTTTAAGTGTAGTGTAACTGAAATATTGTGCATAAAATATCTTTATTTCATAAAAATAAAGATGTCCACAGTGGTCTCAAAGTCCCAAGTCCTGCAGTTATTTTTAAATTAGGGTTAGAGTTAGGGCTTTTGAGTACGATGTCACAAAAAAATTGGTCCCTGTAAGCTATCAATGCTCCCAAAATTGGCATTAGGGTGCTCTAAATACGGCAATTGGTATTTTATATAGAATTTATTATATGAACATGAATGTACTTACTTTGTACATTATGCACATCATTTGTTTGGCCATTGAGGGTCACATCACCTGACAGCTGCCCCCCACACTTTTAAAATGGCTGCTACGCCCCTGGACATAAGTATTGCTTTTGATTAATCCTCTTTTCTATACCTTGCTTCACTTCTGTTTCAGCTTTTATGACCAACTCTTACTATGTGTTTCCATATCCCTACTATTACTACCACTCGCAAACCACCCATCACACACTATAGGCAGCGCAATCCTAAGAACCTGCGCACTTTGCCTATGTCTGCTAATACACTACTTTCTTTTTCTGTTGGTCTCTGGAATTGTCAGTCTGCAGTAAACAAAGCATTGTAGCAAATTATCTCAAAAGAGAAATGTATATAGATAATTACAATTAATTATGATTCATTACAAGTAGTTATATCAGCTGCCAGTAGTAACTGTAGCAGAATTAAATTGCCATCAACCAATCTGTTCGTCTAGTGAACAATCAGTGTAAGTTCATATCAACTCTAGGAAAGGATATTTCCGTGGCCACAGAAAATACTTTCATACAGTATTAATGCATTCGAGTATGTAGTAAGGATCAAAATTGTAAAGAGACATTAATTTTCAAGGCAGAATCAGAAACTCATGTAATTTGTGCACAAGAGTTTTATTAACTAAACACTATCACAAACTAGTCTAACAAACAAACAATCACTCATACATGGGAAAGGGCAAATGAGGCTTGATGAATGAAGCCATCAGGAAAAACCAGAGAATGAAGCTATGAAAAGAGTCAGTTAACCACCTGAGTGAAACCGTCAGTGCTGTTTTAGAATGGGGTCTACAGCGTATACTAAACCTCTGTTTCGTTTAGTTAAATGTACGATACTTGCATTGCCTTGGCCTGAACCGAGCATAAGGATGCAGTCTCGGATGAAAGTCTTGATGTTTGGAGGTTCGGTGGTGCAGGAGTCGCGATCATCTTCTTCCGGGTTTGAAGAGTGATGAACTCCAAAGATGTTCTGACTCGATGGTGATTGGGAGTTTCTTCCCAGTGGAAAGTGAAAAGGAGCTAAGAGAGACATCAGCTGAGATCTTAGGATCTTTGGTAAATGGAAAGTCAAAGCCGAGGCCTGGCGCAGACTTAAGGTACAGAAGACTTCTAGCTCACATCCTCATCTTCTCCGTATCTAACAGAACTGCAGACTGACTGAGGCGGGTCACTGATGTGAGAGCTTTATCTCCTATTGAGCTCACACCTCCAGGGGATCAAAGAACCAATGGTGTCTTGAACTTTTGGAGGGAATGTTTACGACTCTTTGTCTCCAAGCATGGTATTTCGCATACGTAATTTGATTGGGGATGTGAGAGCTTTATCTCCTATTGAGCTCACACCTCCAGGGGATCAAAGAACCAATGGTGTCTTGAACTTTTGGAGGGAACGTTTATGACTCTTTGTCTCCAAGCATGGTATTTCGCATACGTAATTTGATTGGGTGTTGATGCACAAACTAGTAAAGATTCTTAGAACATTAATATGTTGCATAGGTTTCAACATTTAATATGCACTCTCAATTAGATCATCTGAAGACGAATTCATAGAGACCAAACATGATATAGGTGAGGCTATATTAACTAGTGATCTATCATAACATGCATAAAACAGTATACAATACAAAAGACAATATCAGTAATGTAACAGTAATGGTATACACAATTACCTGATGATATGTGTGTTCATTCATAGAAAGGTTTTCCTATTAATTAATTAGAGAAGAGTCCATTTTGCTGTGCATTATGCGTCTTTCCTATGGAAAATGTAGTGAGAGGGAGAACTCTCAACATGCCATTAGGTCGTAAAGTTTATGTGGTCTAGCAAAGGTGTCCTGGTTGCCATGGTAACCAGGGGTCTGGGCCTCGTTCACAGACATCTTGGCACCCAGTATGTTTATTGGGTGAGGGGTCTGTGAATGTTTGTTAATCTAATGAATAATTGATTTGTTAAATCTAATGAAAAATTGTTTGTCTGATTTGTCCAAATGCTACAGCGTATTTCATTACATCTGTTACTAGTCATTCAAGACTTAAGCTCATGGCCCTGACAGAGACGTCGATCAAACCAGAGGACAATGCAACACATGCAGAACTCTCCAATAATTTCTCATTTTCCCACACTCCCCGTCTGACTGGAAGAGGTGGAGGTACTGGTCTGCTTATCTCTAATGATTGGAAATGTATTTCTTTACTTTTTCTGGGTATTAATAGTTCCTTTGAAACACATTCAGTCATTATTACCCACCCTTTTAAAATCCATTTTGTAATTGTTTATCGACCACCAGGACCACAAGGTAACTTCTTGGATGAATTAGATGTGCTACTCTTAACCTTTCCTGAGGACGGTACTCCCCTAGTTATGCTTGAAGACTTCAACATCCACCTAGATAAACCTCAGGCTGCAGAGTTCCACACTCTGCTTGCCTCTTTTGATCTCAAGAGAGTGTTAACTATGGCTACTCACAAATCAGGCAACCAACTGGACCTTATTTACACATGGCACTGCTCCACTGATCATGTACTGGTTACTCCACTGCACACCTCGGATCATTTCCTCCTCACTCTTAACCTCAACATGGTTCCTGACACAACACATACCCCTCCACATGTCATCTTTCAACGTAACCTACGCTCACTCTCACCTTCCCAGCTATCTGCTATGGTTTCATCTTTGCTTCCTCCCCCTAAACAGTTATCATCTCTTGATGCTAAGAGTGTTACTGATACTTTCTGCTCCACTCTTACATCTTGTTTAGACACTGTCTGCCCCTTGTCTTCCAGACCAGCCCGTACCACCCCTTCTGCCCTTTGGCTGTCTGATGTTCTCCGCGAACATAATTCTAAGCTCAGGACTGCTGAAAGGGTATGACACAAATCAAAAAATCCTACTGACCTTAATGTGTATTAGTCACTCCTCTCTTCCTTCTCTGTTAATGTTTCCACTGCTAAAAGAACGTACTATCATAACAAAATTAACTATTCTAAAACATTTTCCTTCCTCCTTTGTCCTCTAAGCTGACGACTTTGCCTCATTCTTCATTAATAAAATTAAAACCATCAGTGCACAATTTTCCATACCACAATTTGTCAAGCACATCTTACCAGCAAACATACACTGGTTCACATCCTTCTCTTCATTCTCTGAGGAAGAAGTCTCCAAACTCAACCTTTCTAATCATCCTACTACTTGTCTGCTTGATCCTGTTCTATCTCATCTCCTTCAAGCCATTTCTCCTGCAGTTATACCTGCACTCATTCACATCATTAACACATCCCTTCACACTGCTGTTTTTCCCTTAGCATTTAGACAGGCTCATATAACCCCTCTACTTAAGAAACCCACCCTTTAACCCATCTCTTTTAGAGGACTACAGACCGTTTTCCCTTCTTCCTTTCATTGCAAAAACACTTGAACGAGCTGTGTTCAACCAAGTCTCTGCCTTTCTCACACAGAACAACCTCCTCGACAGCAACCAGTCTGGTTTCAGAAGTGGACATTCAACCGAGACTGCCTTGCTCTCAGTTGTTGAAGCCCTACGACTGGCAAGAACGCATTCCAAATCTTCAATACCTATCTTGCTGGATCTGTCTGCTGCTCGCTCTCTTGGCAGGTCTTCCAGCCAGTTTTATCAAACCTTTACAATTAATCCAGAACACGGCAGCAAGATTAATTTTTAATGAGCCAAAAAGAATGCACGTCACACCTCTGTTTATCAATTTGCACTGACCACCAATAGCTGCTCGCATTAAATTCAAGGCATTCATGTTTGCCTACAAAACCACCACTGGCTCTGCACCCCTTTACCTAAATTCATTACTTCAGACTTATGTTCCCTCTAGAAGCTTGCATTCTGCAAGTGAACGTTGCTTTATTGTGCCATCCCAAAGAGGCACAAAATCACTTTTTACAGACTTTTAAATTAAATGTTCCCTCCTGGTGGAATGACCTGCCCAACTCAATCCGAGTAGCTGAGTCCTTAGCCATCTTCAAGATCTGTCAAGTCAAGCGAGGCTCAAGCAGCTCATCATACGCGGGGCAGGAAGGGTTACTTCAAGCCGGAGGGCTGTATAATGTGGTTATCTGAGAAGGACATGATATAAATCATCTGTCCAACAACTGCAGACAGATCCATACTATACACTTCCTGTAAACAAAAGGAAATTACTGATATTCCTGTCAGGTCCTTTCCATGTTCTCACCGCGATCGCAACGCACAGCATGCATTCAGCTCCCGCCCAAACGCTAGATTACCTCCGAAATGAATGCGATGCATTGTTATTCCCGCGAGAGGCGAACGCACTCATGCAAACGCTATCTACCAACTCAGGTAAATGGTGAAGTACTCCCCTCCCCCTCAGTAGTCCTGTGAATGCATCACGATGAGCACAAGCTGTCTCCTCGTGAGACGAGTGCGTTCAATTCATGCTTATCCCTCACAAGAAATTAGCAATGAATGTTCATTCAGGGCATTGATGTTTGCCTACAAAACCACCACTGGCTCTGCACCCCTTTACCTAAATGTATTACTTCAGACTTATGTTCCCTCTAGAAGCTTGCATTCAGCAAGTGAACGTTGCCATCCCAAAGAGGCACAAAAACATTTTTTACAGACTTTAAATTAAATGTTCCCTCCTGGAGTCCTTAGCCATTTTCAAGAATCGGCTAAAACACATTTCTTCTATCTTTATTTGACCCTCTAACTCTAGCACTCTCTATTCTAATCATTCTAGTTATATAAGACACTTCATGTCTTAAAGTCTCTATTAATAAGCTGACGAGTTGAATCGGGTGTGTTAGATGAGCGAGACAGTGCTGGGCTGCTCCAGGACAGTTTTGAAAACCATTTCAGAGACATGTTCTTAAATGTGACTCATATAAAATATATTACATGCAGGCACAGTTTTAAGGCAGCTTTAATCACCTTTTTGGCAGCTTCCATGATTTAACTGACCACGGCATTGCATGCACGTAGTTTATTTCGTGCTTTGATATGAAAGGATACAGGCTAGCGTGCACCGTCTCCTTTGTGCATGCAATTGAAGAGCACACGCTGCAAGCACAGTACCGTTTCCGCGCTCTCTTGACTCGCGCCTGGCGCTGAAGTGAACCCTGAACCCTAGCCCCGCCCGTGTTAATTGCGTTAAATATTTTTAATGCGTTAAACTGACAAAATTAATCTCCTGCGTTAACGCGCTAATTTTGACACCACTAATATATATATGTATGAATGTATGAAATTGTAGTTTGTGTACAGCTACACTTGTAAATAATTATTAGGGCCGGGCAAGTTAACGCGTTATTATTTCGTTAACGCATTAATTAATTTAGACAATTATTTTATTGTGCATTGACACAGTTTTTATTATTATTATTATTATTATTTTGAAAGTCCATTGCTCACTGGCTCTGGATACACATACAGACAAACCATGGGTCACAGGAGGGGTGGGATGTTGATCAGTACTGGTTTGGGATGGGCGTCATCATGCGTCTCAACCCCTTATTTAAGCCTGATTTATACTCGATGCATCTGCAAGTTCACTTGGGTGCACGTGACAAAAATTATGTCATCACGGTGTTGGCGGAAGTGCGGGCGACACTGGCCCTGTCCCATATTTCACACTTCGTGTGCACTTGCGGACTTGCAGACTTGCAATGGCTGCCGTGTGTGTGTGTCCGTAAAGTCCACAAGACCGTAGGGTGTCCCATTTGCCATTTTAGCTTTCATAAGGGTGCTTGTGAGCGCCCCCTCTGCGGCTGCTATGCACACTTCTGCCAAGCCTGCACTGGACCGAGCTCCGCAGCAGGCTTCTGCCCGACAGTCAAAGTGGCATTACACCATGAAAGTGCAGACTCAGAGAAAAACCTCAAGGGTTTAGGGTGTGATTTGGGACAGGGCCTATTTCACGTGGCGATGTGCACATACACTGCAGTGACGCGTTACGACTCTGACGATGTTTTGTTCCATCCACGGTGCCAACTCACACCAGAAGCATTTCAGAGGCGAAGTGACAGGGTTCGTGAGACCACATGATTTGCCTGTCCGACATTGTTTATCTTGATTATTTGTGTTCTAACAAGGCTAAGTTGGCTAAATGTTTATGTTTTGTCCAGTTTAATTCAGTTTATAGTTGTATTTATTGATATATCCTACTTTGTTGTGCTGTAGACTACAAAGTTAATACACTTAAAAGTCCAGTTATGAATGGCAAGGATAAAAGATTTGTAGCTGTGTATAGTCGTGTAAAACACATCCGCTATTATCTTGTATACTGAATATTTCACATGCTATTTTTGGCCTCCTGGGAAGGATATAGTGATGTGAAATACGATTGGGAGTCTGCGCAGGGTGTTTATTTTGAAATTGACAGGATTTTTTGCTTTTATTTTTTTGTATCTACTGTGCGGCTTGGACGCGGTGTCCGTCAAAAATAGGCAAACGTTCTTAGGAACGCAACGAATTACGGCACGTATGAGCCTCCCTCAAGACGCACCATCACAAGAATAATACACAAGTTGTATGAAAAGGAGATTTTAATTTGATTACATTAATGTTTAAGTTGAGGTTTACAATAAATATTTTAACTGCTACTATGTAAAGGGAATAATGCTGTAAAAAAGCACCTTATTTGTTTAAAGTGTTTGCAAACCAAATGTTATTGCACTTTTGTTTGAAGGACCATCACCTTCAACTCAACCTTGCCAAGACAGAACTGCTTGTGGTTCCATCAAACCCATAGTTTCATCACAATTTCACCATCCAGTTAGGCACATCAGCCATAACTCCTTCAAAAACAGCCAGAAATCTTGGAGTTATGATTTATGATCAGCTGACTTTCTCAGACCACATTGCTAAAACTGCCCAGTCTTGCAGATTTGCTTTATTCAACATCAAGAAGATCAGGCCCTTTCTTTCGGAACATGCTTCACAAGTCCTTGTTCATGCTCTTGTTCTGTCCAGGCTGGACTATTGCAATGCTCTCTTGGCAGGTCTTCCAGCCAGTTTTATCAAACCTTTACAATTAATCCAGAACACGGCAGCAAGATTAATTTTTAATGAGCCAAAAAGAATGCACGTCACACCTCTGTTTATCAATTTGCACTGACCACCAATAGCTGCTCGCATTAAATTCAAGGCATTCATGTTTGCCTACAAAACCACCACTGGCTCTGCACCCCTTTACCTAAATTCATTACTTCAGACTTATGTTCCCTCTAGAAGCTTGCATTCTGCAAGTGAACGCTGCTTTATTGTGCCATCCCAAAGAGGCACAAAATCACTTTTTACAGACTTTTAAATTAAATGTTCCCTCCTGGTGGAATGACCTGCCCAACTCAATCCGAGTAGCTGAGTCCTTAGCCATCTTCAAGATCTGTCAAGTCAAGCGAGGCTCAAGCAGCTCATCATACGCGGGGCAGGAAGGGTTACTTCAAGCCGGAGGGCTGTATAATGTGGTTATCTGAGAAGGACATGATATAAATCATCTGTCCAACAACTGCAGACAGATCCATACTATACACTTCCTGTAAACAAAAGGAAATTACTGATATTCCTGTCAGGTCCTTTCCATGTTCTCACCGCGATCGCAACGCACAGCATGCATTCAGCTCCCGCCCAAACGCTAGATTACCTCCGAAATGAATGCGATGCATTGTTATTCCCGCGAGAGGCGAACGCACTCATGCAAACGCTATCTACCAACTCAGGTAAATGGTGAAGTACTCCCCTCCCCCTCAGTAGTCCTGTGAATGCATCACGATGAGCACAAGCTGTCTCCTCGTGAGACGAGTGCGTTCAATTCATGCTTATCCCTCACAAGAAATTAGCAATGAATGTTCATTCAGGGCATTGATGTTTGCCTACAAAACCACCACTGGCTCTGCACCCCTTTACCTAAATGTAGGACTTCAGACTTATGTTCCCTCTAGAAGCTTGCATTCAGCAAGTGAACGTTGCCATCCCAAAGAGGCACAAAAACATTTTTTACAGACTTTAAATTAAATGTTCCCTCCTGGAGTCCTTAGCCATTTTCAAGAATCGGCTAAAACACATTTCTTCTATCTTTATTTGACCCTCTAACTCTAGCACTCTCTATTCTAATCATTCTAGTTATATAAGACACTTCATGTCTTAAAGTCTCTATTAATAAGCTGACGAGTTGAATCGGGTGTGTTAGATGAGCGAGACAGTGCTGGGCTGCTCCAGGACAGTTTTGAAAACCATTTCAGAGACATGTTCTTAAATGTGACTCATATAAAATATATTACATGCAGGCACAGTTTTAAGGCAGCTTTAATCACCTTTTTGGCAGCTTCCATGATTTAACTGACCACGGCATTGCATGCACGTAGTTTATTTCGTGCTTTGATATGAAAGGATACAGGCTAGCGTGCACCGTCTCCTTTGTGCATGCAATTGAAGAGCACACGCTGCAAGCACAGTACCGTTTCCGCGCTCTCTTGACTCGCGCCTGGCGCTGAAGTGAACCCTGAACCCTAGCCCCGCCCGTGTTAATTGCGTTAAATATTTTTAATGCGTTAAACTGACAAAATTAATCTCCTGCGTTAACGCGCTAATTTTGACACCACTAATATATATATGTATGAATGTATGAAATTGTAGTTTGTGTACAGCTACACTTGTAAATAATTATTAGGGCCGGGCAAGTTAACGCGTTATTATTTCGTTAACGCATTAATTAATTTAGACAATTATTTTATTGTGCATTGACACAGTTTTTATTATTATTATTATTATTATTTTGAAAGTCCATTGCTCACTGGCTCTGGATACACATACAGACAAACCATGGGTCACAGGAGGGGTGGGATGTTGATCAGTACTGGTTTGGGATGGGCGTCATCATGCGTCTCAACCCCTTATTTAAGCCTGATTTATACTCGATGCATCTGCAAGTTCACTTGGGTGCACGTGACAAAAATTATGTCATCACGGTGTTGGCGGAAGTGCGGGCGACACTGGCCCTGTCCCATATTTCACACTTCGTGTGCACTTGCGGACTTGCAGACTTGCAATGGCTGCCGTGTGTGTGTGTCCGTAAAGTCCACAAGACCGTAGGGTGTCCCATTTGCCATTTTAGCTTTCATAAGGGTGCTTGTGAGCGCCCCCTCTGCGGCTGCTATGCACACTTCTGCCAAGCCTGCACTGGACCGAGCTCCGCAGCAGGCTTCTACCCGACAGTCAAAGTGGCATTACACCATGAAAGTGCAGACTCAGAGAAAAACCTCAAGGGTTTAGGGTGTGATTTGGGACAGGGCCTATTTCACGTGGCGATGTGCACATACACTGCAGTGACGCGTTACGACTCTGACGATGTTTTGTTCCATCCACGGTGCCAACTCACACCAGAAGCATTTCAGAGGCGAAGTGACAGGGTTCGTGAGACCACATGATTTGCCTGTCCGACATTGTTTATCTTGATTATTTGTGTTCTAACAAGGCTAAGTTGGCTAAATGTTTATGTTTTGTCCAGTTTAATTCAGTTTATAGTTGTATTTATTGATATATCCTACTTTGTTGTGCTGTAGACTACAAAGTTAATACACTTAAAAGTCCAGTTATGAATGGCAAGGATAAAAGATTTGTAGCTGTGTATAGTCGTGTAAAACACATCCTCTATTATCTTGTATACTGAATATTTCACATGCTATTTTTGGCCTCCTGGGAAGGATATAGTAATGTGAAATACGATTGGGAGTCTGCGCAGGGTGTTTATTTTGAAATTGACAGGATTTTTTGCTTTTATTTTTTTGTATCTACTGTGCGGCTTGGACGCGGTGTCCGTCAAAAATAGGCAAACGTTCTTAGGAACGCAACGAATTACGGCACGTATGAGCCTCCCTCAAGACGCACCATCACAAGAATAATACACAAGTTGTATGAAAAGGAGATTTTAATTTGATTACATTAATGTTTAAGTTGAGGTTTACAATAAATATTTTAACTGCTACTATGTAAAGGGAATAATGCTGTAAAAAAGCACCTTATTTGTTTAAAGTGTTTGCAAACCAAATGTTATTGCACTTTTGTTCATACAGCAGTACTTTTAAAATAAAAGTGCGCAATACACTACTTGTGAATTCATTATTGAATGTTATGCATAACAATGTGATTAATCGTGATTAATAGCAGAAAAATCATGTGATTAATCGTGATAAAAAATATAATCATTGCCCAGCACTAATAATTACTTATCATATAATTAATATGTGATAAACAGTGAGCATTAGATGACCCAATATATAACAAATTCAATACATATCCACTATTGATCACAGCATCTCCAATATAGGCCAATAACTGATATGATCTGACACAGAGACTATATTTCTGTGGAACAGCTACAGCAATTCAGTTCAATTCATTTCAAGTTTATTTGTATATAGCTTTTCAAGATACGAATCGTTGCAAAGCAGCTTTACAGAAAATTAAGTTTTTACAACATATTTAGTAGTAGCTTATCAGTGGTGACTGTCAAATTGATGTACATATGGCAGAATATATATATATACACACACACACACACACAATCAAACCAAAATTTAACCTTTAACCTTAAAAATATGTGTAAACACACAATTTACATATACTTACTCCATGATCATGAAAAACAGCGATAGATTGACACCGGAGTCCAGGCATTACTCCGTCCTCCAGTTGTTGACGTTGTTGAATGCTGTGCTTAAATTAGTTAAGTGTGTTCCTGTGGCTCATTGATAGAGCATTGCGTTAGCAGCGCAAAAGGTTGTGGGTTTTATTCCCAGGGAACACACATACACGTCAACAACGTCAACAAATGGAGAAATGCCTGGACTCCAGTGTCAATCTATCTATTGCTGTTTATAGCCTGAATGCACTGTAAGTCACTTTGGATAAAAGCGTCTGCTAAATGCATAAATTAATTAAATTAAATGAAGTCATTGTCAGCCGGCTTATGTCACTTCAGAATTTCAGAATTAATCTACAGCTTGGTTACTTTTCACTATTAATGCTTTCTAACGAGACCATTGCTGTTACTGTTTCTCAAAATAATAGTTACTTGACAGTCATCCAAAACACCCTAGTATTGTGTTGGCAGGTTTGCACTGACAAAGATACTCCCATTTCACATTCAGATTTGTAGTAGGACTCAGACACAGTAAAATAACACCTCCAACAGTAGGTGATGATAGATTAAGAAGGCTCATGTCAGAATTTAACAATGATTCATGATGATGTCCTTTTAATCATGATGGCAAATATGTTATTTTTGAGTTGAAGTTTTGTTCAGCATGAGTCAAGTCCAAACAGCAGTTAATAGAACTGAGCCATTAACTGGCATACCCTGGAAAGTAATGTTATAATCTGGGCCTTTTTTGTGTAAATCCCAGTATGAAATGTGAAGCCTCTCTGGTGTGATCTGTCTCTTGCTGGAAAAGTTTATTAGTTAGTATGGAAGTTGAAAGCTAATTTTTCCAAAGTGTATTGTAGTGTGTATTGGAAATAATAATACATCTAGATATGTGAGTGTTGGAAACTCTTTATACTTGTCACTTTTCTGATATACATTTCCAGCGGATGTGTTCAACACCATTTTAAAATGACGTTCGTATCCGTCTCTCCTATAAAAATGGTTCAGATCTAGGTCAACAGAGCAGAATAAAATGACCACACTTTAAGAAACTGTTGGTGTGAGACAGGGGGATTTGAGGGGATTTCTCACAGTCCAGACGTGAACTTTCATCATCCATATGAGCACCACAGCAACAATTTTGATCCCTATTTGAAAGTCCATATTAATAAAAATCCAGATGTTTTAACAGCTTAGTCACACTACAGAACAAAAAAAAACTAACAAGCTGAAGAAAATGAAGCAGGAAAATAACAATTAAGGAAAATAATGTTAACCTTTCTCATCCAGTTGAAAAGGAAAACACATCTGGAACTGCACAATACAGACTGTAACTCTTCAAACTATTTTAATATTTCCCAGACCTGCATGATCTCCTTGGATATGCTTATTGGTAATGGCATTCTCATTACAAATTATGTGAGCTGTGCTGTAAGCCTTTGTGGAGACATACAAAGACCTGAGGAGACTGTACACAGTCCATTCTGAGCAGCCCAGAGCATTACAAGGATCCTTTTAAATGACTCTCAGTATTTATGAATTATGTTTTAAAATGAGTAATTTGAATGAATGAATGAATGAATGAATGAATGAATTATTTATTTAAGTGACTAATTGAAGTTAGTTTTGCTGTTTGCTAAAATTTTAAGAGGAAAATAATTTTGGCTTGCTGACTATAAAGAAAGGACTCTAGGATCAACTCTTTAATTGCTCTTTAATTTAATGTAACTCTTTTGTATTATTAACAACTATGTCACTTTTTCATCACTGTTCACTTCATTATGGCATTGATTGACAAGATGGCGCCGATGATGATGGTGGCCTCCGTGGCGTGCTCTGCAGTTGTTTTTGTGTTTTTGTTAGTTTGTCCTGTCTTTAGTTATATCCCTGTAATCAGTTTCACCAGAGATGAATTACTGGACATTCGGCACAACACATCAGCCGATATATTACCGGTTTTCGACTATTCTGATGTTTTGCTGGACATAGTAGTTGGCGGAGCAGCGGCACTGATCAAGCGCTTCAGGACACGCAGATGGGGGAAGCGAGCCGGCGCCCTCGTGAAGCTCAGGCAGCACGGATTTCGAACGCCGTTGCCTAGCATCTATCTGGCGAACCTCCACTCTCTACCCAACAAAAAACGGACAAACTCCTTCTGCTCTACCAGACAAATAAGGATTTCTCACACTCTGCTGCTCTGTGTTTCACGGAAACCTGGCTGAATGATGCCATACCGGACAGCGCGTTGAGTCTGCCGCGCTTTCAGCTGTTTAGAGCGGATTGCGATGCAGAATCAACGGGGAAATCGCGAGGCGGCGGGACATGCTTTTACATCAACGAAAGGTGGTGTACAGATGTAACCGTGTTAAAGAATATGTGCTGTTCAGATCTAGAAGCGCTTTTTCATTAACTGTAAGCCTTTCTGCTCGCCGCGGGAGTTTTGCCCGTTCATTATCGTGAGTGTTTACATTCCTCCGCAAGCGCACGTGAGCTCAGCTTTACAGAAACTTGCTGATCAGATCACAGAGACAGAACAACAACACCCGGACCCTGTTTTAATCATTCTTGGGGACTTTAATAAAGCAAATCTCTCCCGTGAACTGCCAAAATACAGACAGCACATCACATGTCCCATCAGAGACAGTAATATATTGGATCACTGTTACACCACAATAAAGAATGCATATCTCTCTGTTCCACGTGCAGCTTTGGGGCTCTCTGATCACTGTTTGGTTCATCTTATACCGACCTACAGGCAGAAACTGAAATCAGCTAAACCTGTATTAAGGACTGTGAAAAGATGGACTAATGAAGCAGAGCGGGAT